AACTTTGTGGACAAAAGAAATATATGCCGGTTTTCAGTCAAAACTGACACCCATCTTAAGCCGAGCCGATCCGGGCGAGCCGGATCCACTCCTTTTTCGCCCATCCTTATCCAATTCTCTCTCTCCCTCTCCATCCCGTCTCCACCGCCCCTCCCCTCTCTCTTCTTCTTCCTTCTCTCCTTCTCTCTTCCTCTCCACATTTCCTTCACCTCTCCTCCTCCATTCACCACGGCGGCAGCATGGCGGGGCTCTCCCCTCCGCCAAATCCGGTGGGACGGGAGGTGCTGGTCCGGCGGCGGCGTGCTCCCTAGGTCAGATCTGGCGGGAGGGGAGACGGCGACCCGGTGACGGTCCGTGGCTAGAGACGGCGGGAGGCGGCGGGACGGAGGTGGCCTGCACCGGATCTGGAGGTGCGGCGTCGGCTGGAGGTGAGACAACATCAGTGGTCGGCGGATCCATCTCTCCCCCTCCCTCCCTCTTTGTGATTTGTTGGAGATGCGTTCTTGTTCATGTGAGAGTCCATTTGTTGCTATGAGAATTGATGTGAGATTTTGTGTCGTTCTTGTTCATCTGTTGATGTGGAATCTATTCATCATTTGTTTCTTTGTTCATGTGGGAGTTAATCGGCTAGAGTCGGCTCGAGCTCGAGCCGGCTTATGTTTTTTTGCTCGTTGATTACATATTGGTGTCGGTTTTTAAAATGACAGTGGTGCCGGTGCACTAATCAGTGACGCCTCCATGGTGCCGGTTAGGAAAACCAGCATCTAAGGGGGTTACCAACCGGCACCGAAGTTCTTTTCTGTAGTAGTGACTCCTAAAATATTTTGTTATGCTTTTTTTCCCTTCCCTTTTGTCGGTCTCCTCAGGATGTTAATACGTAATGTTAACATTCCACACTACTATACGTATATTTTAAGAATAATGTTTTAAAAACTTGTATATATTCTACGAATCTTCCACGTAATTTATACCGACAAATTCCATCAAGTTGCCGTTTTCCGTTCCTTTCCACATCCCTCATAATTCTCTCGCTGATCTCACCTGCTAATAATCAAGAACATGCACGGACGGCGACATGAGCCCTGTACGGTTTTCCTGCTCCCCAAAAAACCGTGATGGACCTCATGTTACTCTGTACCAAGACCCTCCATGTTCTCTCATTTCATTTCATTTGCACACGCCCACACCACTCATCTGTTTGTTCCTCTCGTCGATCTTGTTGTTGGGAATTTATCTTTCGAGTCTTGACCCCAAGTGGCTGGACATGCATGCAAAAGATCATTCAATTAATTGCCACCGTGTCCTATGCTGCTGTAATCAAGCGCAGCTCGATCCCTGCTGCCCAACTGTTCAGCGAGATGGCGAAATGGCAGTGTGTGACTGGCACGTCCATGGAATCATGGATTAACACCTCCAGAGAGAAATCTCATGGCCCAAACGACATATTTCTAAATGAAAAGCATTATGTGAATAAAATTTTTATACACGTGTTCTTAGCGATATGAAAGTGAAGTCTGAAAATAAAATTACTACTCGCTTTATTTTAAAACTAAGAAGGTAGCCCGCGCAGATGCGCGGGCAATTTATTTATTGTTTACAAATTTAATTGGTAAATTTTGAGATAAATCTAATGGTTTAGAAATTTGAAGATTTTTTTCCTAAGAGAGTAGGAAAGGAAAGAGGAGATGAGGAGAGTACGTCCGTACCAGGGAAGGGTGTGGAGAAGGTGAGAGCACGTACTTTTTTTATTTGATCTAATAGTTAAAAATAGGCAAAATTGATTATATAGCATCGAAAGTTCACGTTTTTGGTTTTATAGCATTGAAAGATACCGGTTCACTTTAATAGCACCCAAAGTTTACCCTGTTCCCATTTCTAGCACTTCCGTCAATTTTTCCGTCCGTCTTGATCGTTATTGACCCAGCTACGCACACAATATAATGTTTCTACCCCTCATTGACATGCATTCTACTTGTACTTGTGAGGGGTAGAAACGTCATATCGTGTGTGTGGATGGATCAAGACGGACGGAAAACGATCGAGAATTGATGGAAGTGATAAAAATGGGAACATGGTGAACTTTGGGTGCTATTAAAGTGAATCGGTATCTTTCGGTGCTATAAAACCAAAAACGTGAACTTTCGATGCTATATAACCAATTTTTCCTTAAAAATATTGGACCCACCAATTTAAAAGAAAATCAATGGAAAGATTTTAGAGTGTCACTTGGCTTAATCCAAACAAATTAAAATTAAATCAGATTTACTTGAAATTAATTATTATATATTTGCCCAAGATGTGGTGATGTATTTAGAACCGCAATATAAATTTTATAAGACACAAATATTTTATTTAATTAAAGAAATATAACGGGATCACAAATTGATTATATAATCTAAAATAATTTAAAAGATGAACGTTTAGAGATAGTTGATTTGATATTTTTTATTTATATTATAGAACTAGTTTATATTTGCACATATTTGTGGAGTAATATATTTTTATATGGTAAAAAGTTATATTTTAAAGACAATTGATTTTGTTTTGACGGTAATATGTATTATCGATTTTAATTTATTTTGAATCTTAAATTGTTGGTTTAATTATGATAGAGCAAAAGTTAGATTAGATATGATATGTGTAGCTTAAAATAACTGTGGTTGTTTCTCCTTATCATAGCTACTAAAAAATATAGAGAGAAGTGGAGGGGGCAGAAAGTGTTGTGCGTATCTAATGGTGAGGGTGAGGTGGAGGGGACTTTGTTTTTCTATTTTTTTCTAAATCATTTAGGTCAAAAACCAATTATCATGTATTTTGTTTTTTAGAAAATCTTTTTTAATTTTAAAGTCATCGTAATGACTTAAAAAGGTAATCTTAGATACACAGATTTAAGCTGGATGATTTAACTGGAGATTGCTTGGTTCGAATTAGCTACGTAATATCATGGTAAAGCCATGTAAACTGATTTAATTAGCTGTATATGTTATATTACCGTTAATTTCCTTCCACAAATCATGTATAATAACTAATTTAATTAGCTATGTATAATCTTCTTGTTAATCTCCTAGCTTCCATATATATATTGCCGTGCATATAATAAATATAGCTATGATTAGTAGTAACACAATATGACAGCTAATTAATCTCAACTTCTAACAACCATAGTTACTAATCCTTCCGGCAAACCATACATACGTACAGGAGAAAGGCAGATCTAATTCATTGGTATAAAATAAAGGGTCCACCAATTTAAGTGAAAATCAACGGTAGGTAAAGATCTAATCTAACGGTATAAAATAATGGGTCTACCAATTTAAGTGAAAATCGACGGTGAGATTATATTGTGCCACATGGCGGCCTAGAAGCATTTGTAGGAGCGCCATGTGGCGGCTTGAGAGCGTTTGTAGGAAGTTTAATGGACTTTTAGTATATAATAGATAGATTTAATATAAATATGTAATATATATAGTATTATGGTTAAAGTACCAATAGTAAGACAAGTTACAACAAAATATGTAATACTTCCATGATTTTTTTTAGTAAAATGAATGGTAAACTTCATGTACAAAAAATTAACGGCATCATATCTTTCAAAACGGAGTTAGTAGCTTTTTAATACTATGAAACAAAAATAATGTAAGTTCTATATATTTATAAGGTTTTAAAATACAAATTTGATCTTCCATGCATCTAAACAAATGTTTGGGAAATAAAATGAAATTACATTATGAAATTATTTTTTTGGTAATTTCTAGATATGATTTTCATACATCCAATAATTTTAGAAAGGTATCGGTGCTAGAATGTTGTTTAAGTTTGAATTGGAGCATCGTCACTACGGTTTAATGGGCCTGTGCTGGATTGTGTAATGGGCTAATCTGCTACATGGGCTGGTACTGATTTCCTTTTCAAAAAGGAAACAGTCCATGTGCCTCCCTCGACTATTGACGGAGTTTGGTCACATTCTTTAACCGCAAAATCTATGATAGTGACTCCCTCAATTATTAAAACCGAATAAATTTATCTTCTTAGATGATCTTGATAGTGGTTTTATCCTATGTGACGCCTACGTCACTTTTACATTTTTTTAATGTGACATTATGCTTACATGGCATTTTTGTAAAAAAAAAAGAGAGAAAGAAATAAATGGAACCCACATATAACTCAGGAAAAAGTAAAAAAAAAAATCAATGGGACCCATCTTGGTGCGTTCTTGCTGGCAGATGGCCATCGTTGCCGTCCTCACCACACTTCTCTCTTACAACACCATACTCCACGGTGGTGCGACGGCGAAGCTTGTTTAGCCTAGGTGCCGTTGTTGGTCTAACGGCATCTCTCTCTCTCTCTCTCTCTCTCTGCTAGGAGAGAGACAAGGGCAAGAGAAGGGAAACGGAGAAAAGGGGTAGAGAGGGAAGAAGAGAGAGGATGACACGTGGGTTCTACTATTTTTTATTTTTTTAGAGGTTTATATGTGAGTCCCACCTTTTTAAATAAAAAATCGGACTGAGCATCACATAGACACCACGTCAACATGTTAAAACACTACTAGCTCAAAACTGCCATTAAAATCGTTTAGAGAGATACTCCCTCCTTTTCAGGTTACAAGGCGTTTTAACTTTGGTCAAAGTCAAACTGTTTTAAGTTTGACTAAGTTTATAGAAAAATATAGTAATATTTATAATACTAAATTAATTTTATCATCAATAATTGAATATATATTCATAATAAATTGTCTTAGATTAAAAATGTTACTATTTTTTTTCTACAAACGATCAAACTTAAAACAGTTTGATTTTGGTCAAAGCATCTTATAACCTGAAATGGAGGGAGTAAAATAGATCCGATTTTAATAGTTCATGGAGTATATGTTTTGAAATTTGGGGATATGCAAATTAAACTTGCCATAGTTGAGGGCGGCGCAATGGACTTGTACCAGGAATCTGAGAGGGTGAATTACAAGGCCTCAAAACTTTGTCCAGATCAACTTCAGACGCAAATGATTTAAGCATAAAACATGACTCTGTCTTACACTCTTACACCATACAACACCATCTCAAAGGTAGTATTACCGAACAAATTAAAGTGGATTAAGCTCCAAAACACAAGCATTTTTTTTCTCTTGAGGAAATTACCAAGAAGCCAAAATGGAAAACCATTGACATTACTCGCATAAGCAATTGATAATAGATATCGATCGATAATATAATTCGATATATTGACATATATGCTAATCAGATCAATCAATCAGTAGGAGTTGCTGTTGATGGCGGAGCACTTGAGGCGGACCTCGCCTTCGTCGCCGGTGAGCACCTGCGCGGCGCCGAGGCGGCGCATGGAGTCGGCGAACTGGTGCCTGATCAGCTCCGGGCGCGCGCCGGCGAGCTCCCTGACGAACTCCCCCGTCCTCGAGTCCGGCAGCAGCTTCTGGTCCGTCTCCAGGAGGCCCATGTCGCGCAGCAGGTTCTTGTAGTAGCCGTTGTCGAACTCCGTCGGCGTGTCGGCGTCGAGGTAGACGTACCCGCCGTCGCCGGCGGCGGCGCACTTGCGGCGGAGGAAGTCGCCGTACCGCGGGCTCATGCTGGCGTCGGGCCTCCCCGTGCCGGCGTAGTCCCACAGCCTCGGCTTCACGGCGGCGCACGTGGCGCGGCCGATGGTGTGCGCACCGGAGAGCACGGCGAGGTCCAGCACGGTGAGCCCCCTCGACTCGAAGAAGGCGATGAGGTCGGTGACGCTCTCCCGCCCCATGGGCACGTACTGGTCGGCGTCCACCATGCTCGACCTCCTCCCGTCCTTCCTCCCGTACATCAGCGGCCAGTAGTCCACCTTCACCTGCACGCACGAACACCGTTAGCCACGCGCGCCGCCGCCGCCGTACGCCGCCGGCGAGAGTAGATTACTAGAGTGTGTGAGCTGAGCTTGCCTCGGTGCTGGCGTCGCGGGCGGCGGCGGCGAGGATGTCGGCGCAGGAGACGGTCTTGGGGCACTTGGCCTCCAGCTCGGCCTTGATGGACTCGATGAGCTCGAACCCGCGCAGCGTCTTGCTCGCCTTGGCGTACCTCTCGCTCCCCGGCGAGTCCACCAGCACGGACGCGTCGATCCCCTGCACGCAATCCAATATCCATCACATCGCGATTAGCCGCCATTGCCGGAATGGTGGAGATGTCATGTCAGGCTGGCACGGCGACGGCGAGCTCGTTCGTGGCGTACGTACCCCGACGGCGAAGTCGTGGAAGAAGAGGCGGAGGAGGGCGGGGGCGAGGGTGGAGTCGGCGGCGATGGCCTTCTTGACGGCTCGCTGGACGATGCCCTCCATGTCCGGGCACGACTGGTGGTAGTAGTCGGCCTTCAGCCCGGCGGCCGGCCGCCGGTACGCCGGCTGCACGTAGCCTTGTTGTTTCTGGCCGTCCGCCGCCACCAGCGCCGCGAGGAGGAGCGCCGCCGCCGCCACCGAGACGGCGACGACGGCCAAGGAGAGAGACGCCGGCGTCCTCGTCATCTTGATCGATCGAAAGGGAAAACAATTCTGTGCTGCCGTGAGCTGTGCATTATTCATCTGGGTTTCTGCGTGAGATTATATAGTTTTTTGAGCTTGTTTTGTGACGAGGACGACATGGCGAGCACGTAGCGCAGAAAACGAGATGAATTCGATCGATCGACGACGTGAGGAGAGCAACACAAGACGGGATTGTGATTGAAATTAATTAGTACAGTAGTATACTCGCTAATTAATAATTGGGTTGCAGTTTGCACGTAGGGGGAATCTAGATGGTTTAAATAGTTATTTGAATTGTTAATTTTGGTGTCAAGTGTTTGTTTGCGCAGGTAAATATATGCGTGTATTGGTCAATCGATCGAGTCGGCGTAAACATATTTGTGCTTGGCATGTCGAGGGCAAACATGCAAGCATGCAACCATCATATGACAACATCAAGTTATCGACATACATGGTCACGGTACAAGATTTTTCTATTTGATCTTGCAAATGATTGGATGATCGACTTTCAAAAAAGAAGGAAATGTTGAGAAATACTACTTAATTCATCTGGGTCAACAATCAACCAAATGACAATCTTTTTTTTGGCACTAAATTTGGGTTAGGTATGAGATCTCACAAGGTTTCATCAGTCTTAAATCTGCTACTAAAAACAGCAGTGTTCATTTGTTCAAATAAACAGAAACACTGTAACCTACTCTAAACTAACATAGATATTTGAACAGACCCTCACCCACCTCCAAAACACACACAGAAATGAAGTTGACTTTACATGGTCAACATACAGTGGAAACTTTGATCACAACAGTGTTGTACTAATCAGGCAACGAATTGATGCTTCATCGTATTTTAACCCCAAAATTATCTCGGGGGAATTTCTCAAACAAGGACTCCAACTTTTGTCAGGCTCACTCACTCTCGATTGCCACGCGATTCGCTGGTAGCAAATCGTTCCAAGTATCTGTTTGCCCTCGCAAGCACCAATGCATGCAATCATCATGCTTCTTCCAACCAGCTGTTGAAGGATGAGCATCAGCTCCGAATTCACACATCATTCGAGTTATATTCAGAACACTTTAATTTGAAAGTAGACTTTGAAAGTAGACTTTTCAAGAGCCCTCACCAAGACATCTGTTAGAATAAATGGGCTAGGCACAATTTAATTCAATTAAAATCTCAACAGCCCACAAGTAATGTTAGAGACAATAATACTGCCTTGGAAATTTAGGTGAAAGAACCTCAACTTAAATAGGGTAATATTGGGGATTTCCTGTTGACCGGTTGAGGTGATGGTTGGACTGCCACACGCATGCGCGCGCGCCGAGTCGGCCTCAGCCGTTGGCGTAGCGAGGCGAGGCAGCCGACCGAGCCGAGCCTGCTGCTCTTCCGTTTTGTAATAGACGAGAATAAAGTCACCATTAACTAATGAAATTCATTGTGTTGTAAACTCCATAACAAACACTACAAGAGGTATGTGGCTTTTTGACATTTTATTATGTCATAATATGTGAAATTTATGTCAAAAATTAAGATTTATGACAAACAGTTCATAATTTCAAACGTCAAAAAGCCACCGTCATAAATTCATCATGTGATGTTTGTACATTCATTGTCACAAGCATATGACATTGCTTTATTGTCACAAAATCTTGGGGCTTGCCACATGGCAGCTGACATAGCAGTTGACATGGTTCAAAAAAAACGTCACAAAATAAGATTCGGCCTGCTGAAGCCCATGTAGCTCATGGGCCAAAAATATATTTTTTCTAGGGTTGTTGCTAGCTGGCCCAACATATTTTTTGCTTGTTTGTTTGAGTGCAGCCTATATAAATTTTCGGCCCACACCAATTCAGCCCATATGATTTTTCCAACCCGCATAATTCAGCCCATATGATTTTTCCAGCCCCCACAATTTAGCCCATATAATTTTTTCAGCCCACAAAACTCAACTGATATTTTTTCAGCCCATACAATTCAGCCCAGATACAATATTTCAGCACATACAAAATCAAATTCAAATGAATTAACATTCCACAAATGATTGCAATGTCACATGCATTTCACATTCCACAAGTCTTAAAATGCAATATCATTACATCCATCCACCAATTCAATACATATCCAAAGTCTCAAATTTCATCTTCCTGCTATAGCGAGAGCAACAGTAGCACATATGCAATAGCATCACAGCAGTAGCAGCAGAGCAATGGCCAAAAGCACAGCAGCAACAGCACAACGACCAAAAGCACAGCAACAACAAAATAACATCCCACAAGCACAATAGTCGCAAGTTCAGTGTCACCTTATGTTCATACGTATTGCTGCTTCAGCCCGTTCATCTGCCGCATGGCAACGCGCCCGACGGCAACATCCCTAAGGAGGCCGCAGCCACTGGCGGCGGACAGCCAGGTGCGGAGGCGATGCACATGGGGCACAACGGCATGGCCTTCCAGGACTGGCATGACGGCAAACAACTGGAGGCAAGGTCGATCCAACGCCGCCAGCAAGCTCTGCACAGTGGTTGTACAGTGTATATGCATTATGTCCAGCAAATGTGTACAGTATTGAACTTAAAAAAACTAGTAATTTGCCCATGCTAATGCTACAGTGACATTTGTTAATGCAGCCCAAACAATTAAAAAAGAACAGGTTTTAACAATCGTAATATACATAACAATAGATATTTTTCCCCTCTAGGAATTACAACCAAAATTTCACATCTAACAATCCTTGTAATTTATCTCCAATCTTTAGGTCTTTAGCTGTGAGTCCTTGAATTTTCATGCATGTAATTCTTAGATAGTTCACCTTCTTTTACAAATGGGCTAACCATCCCATCACCCGTTGACACATACTCTTTGTCCAAAAAAAATCCCAATCATGAGTTTGAATCTGGACATAGATTTGGTTCTTTTTATGATAGGAGAAGTAAAGAGTAAGGAAGGAACAATCACAACATGAAATTCAAAGCCCCAATAGTAACCTAATATGATATATCGAAAGCGCACCACCAAAACAAAACTCCAACTTACAAAATTACTCATGAACAATGTGTTTTTTGCTTTTTTTTTTTCTTATCACAGTATCAGTTGGCCTAAGAAACGATAATTTAGACATCAATAAATTATCCGATAGACTATAGCACATACTCCCTCGATATTTCAAATTAAAGCAACTTACTTGCCCACAGTTATCAAATACATCATTAGACCTAACCTAACAGATGCTCAGCACCATTAGACCTAACAACTTGTCTAGAATACATATGCATGCTTAAAAAATCATCTAACTACTCACATAGTTTGGTCGGTTCACCGAATGATGTCTTCCTATCTGCATGCCTTGCTCTCTTGTTCATACTCCTCCTTCCTTGACTGATGTATCCATTCCTCCTGTCAGAAAGGAAAAAAAAAACAATCATAACATCCTACTCAGACCATGTGTTAATTTTCCTTTTTTCAATGGACTTGTCAATTCGAAGCTTAATTCCTACAAGCAGCTGATCATCTGTTAAATCCTAGTCAAATCAACAAAAGAAACATAAGCCCAGCGAGGGAACAATAGAAACCATGAAAGGGTGTTTAGTCTCACCGCTCATCAATTTGGTAGGAAATATTGCTAAAGTTCTAAGAATAAGTTGCCCTAAATCCTAACAACATCTTATCGCATCAAAATTGCTGGTATAAAGACTCTGTTTAGCAAGTTTAGGCCTTCTTTCAAAAATCTGGGTATTAAATCTGCCTGCATTCTGAAACAAAAACATGCTGGCATAATACAGATTAAGATTAGTGCAGAACCTGCGGATCTTGGAGTTGCACGTGTTGCCGAGATTCCTAAGCAGGTCGGCTCGCATGCAGAAGACGATGTCCCTGAGCGAACCCTCCTGGCAACGGTGCCTGAGTTCCCGAAGCTTCTTGCGCAGTAGAGGTTGGCGTTGATGGGGTCCCGCGGTCCAGCATCCGCGCGGCATGCGCCTCGTAGGTGAGAGTGACGCGCATCATGTTCCGCCAGAACTTGAGCCAGTATGCAGACTGCACCCGCGGACGGACCCCCACGCGCCTCCAGAAACCCCGAAGCAGGAGCCCGCCGGCACAAACGGCGCGGCAGCGAGCTCTGGCGAGCTGCTGCGTGCTAATCAGGCCCAGCGCCGTAGCCGCACGCCGTCGTTGAGCCGCCCGGGGACTGCCGCCGCGCGATCTAGCCGCCCTAGGCCCGGGAGCGCTGTCGGCGGCAGATCCACCGCTCCCGAGCCTGGCGCCGGCGGAGACGGAGGCGGCGCAGTAAGCGGTGAGGGGGGAGTAAGCCGGCACCGCGAGCGGCGATGGAGGAGGAGGACGCCGCCGCACGCTGTCATCGCCGATACCCACCGCCGGAGAGGAGAGGAGAGGAGAGGAGAGGGGAATGGATGGGAGAAGTGTGGCGGCTGAGGGTGGAGAGATAGAGAGAGAGAGGAGGGGTGGAGAGCAGGGTTTTATATGGGGCTAGGGTTAGGGACGGCGATCAGAACCATTAGATCGTAGATAGGACGGTCAGAAATAGTTGGGCCATTTGGGCCGAAACAGGAATGATCTTGTGGTATTTTTTAGTTTCAATTTATGAGAACTTTAAATGTAATTTTAGGCTGATTTTTTGTTTCAAATGAAAAAAATCATAAACAAAAAAATTGTAGAACTAATCGAGATCTGCGACTATTGTATTGGTTCTTTTTACAAATAAGTTCATTTGAACAATTTAAATTTTGAATTTTCAAAATTTGACAACTTCGAATAAAAATTAGGGTTAATAAATGATTTCAAATGGAAAAGTCACCAAAACCAAAGCTGTAGAAATCATCGAGATGAAAAGGTTTTATTTTGGTCATTTCTCCATATGACTCTATTTAAACAATTTGAAATTTGAAATTCAAAGTTTGAGAAATTCAAATAGAATTTTTTATTAGTGAACGACTTCAACTGAAAAAGTCATCAACAACAAAGTTGTATAATCTATCTGGATCTACAATTTTTATTTTGGTCATATCTTCATCTGGCAAAGTAATAGTAACATTGTTCACAAAATTTACAAATCTCTCTTATA